GGACAGGGAGAGAGAGAGACAGAGAGAAAGGTCTTCCTTTGCCATTGGTTCACCCTCCAATGGCCACCGCGGCCAGCGCACCGTGCTGATCCGAAGGCAGGAGCCAGGTACTTCTCCTGGTCTCCCATGGGGTGCAGGGCCCAAGGACTTGGGCCATCCTCCACTGCACTCCCTGGCCACAGCAGAGAGCTGGCCTGGATGAGGAGCAACCGGGACAGAATCCGGTGCCCTGACCGGGACTGGAACCCGGTGTGCCAGCGCCGCAAGGCAGAGGATTAGCCTAGTGAGCCGCGGCGCCGGCCCCTATATTCTTCTGAAACTCCTTTGCAAGTGATCAGAATGACGGTTCCCAAAAGAAAGAAGTTGGTTGATAAATTACTTACCTCTGTCCCATCTGCCCTACTGGATGCACTGTAAAACTACTTAGAGAGCTTAACCATAATTATATCTACTTTAACTGCTTTACAGAAAGCAGGTCAAACAAAGCATGACGACAAGTTTTGAATAAGAACTGATCATCTTCAGGAGAGCGAATGCTGCTGGATAGCTCCTATCAAAAAGTTGAAAAGTCGTTTTACCATGTTTACAGGTAAATTAACACCCTTTCAAGATCCAGCTCACTCTGCTAGGCAATTATGTCTGCTATGAAAATATATTTTTGGAGATTTTGGACTAGAGTGTTTCTGATTATTTATCCACTCGGGATCAGAAGTAGCCATAAACGTTTGAGTTAGTGGAGTGAGTGGGATTGTCGAAAATGTTTCCATTAGTGGGCTCCTGGCCTCGGCTCACTGGGTGATTTGCATGTACAGACCCTGTCAATATGTTTCTGGAGAGTCTGCTGAAAAACACAGGAATCAACCCCAGAAATTCCGTTTCCTGCTTGGCTTAAATGAGGAGGGACTTGCAGGGTGGGAGTTGCCCGTCGCCCTTGGCCATGAGACAATTGTATCAGAGTGTTCTGTTTTGTTCTGGCTGGATAGCGCCTACTTATCAAAAGCAGGAAATTGCATTTTAACTTGGATCTGTAGGATGCTGGGGAGGGGCCGCGCTGATCTGGTCAGGAGGGTGGAGGTGGAAGGAGGATGAGGCAGGGAACAGTCAGTACAGAGCCTCAGGGGGCCTGAGGCCATCGGGAGATTGGCAGGGATGGAAACCGCATTTCTGAAAAAGAAGACAGGAGTTGAAGATGTGAGCACGTTAGTGTTCTCCAGATGTGAAGAAATTGAGGAGGGAGTTTTCTGATCTGGAGGAAACACTGCTCCCGCTGCAGAACTGGAGCGTCCTCCCCAGCCACAGAACAGGAGGGCTGCTGATTCAGTTAGAGCGCTGAAGAGGAAATAAGCCGCAAAGTTGTCTGATGCCAGATTACAGGCATCATTGATATTGAGATAGGAATATCTGCATGCCATGAAAGAGCTTGGGGGTGGGGGGTGGGAAATGAAGGGAAAGCATAGTTTGTGAGCAGTCTTTTGTTTGTGTTCAGTTTATAATGAATGTAGTATGAGATTTGAGGACTAATTTTATCTAATGAAAAGACAATGAGCGCCATTAAGAGACTGTAATATACAGGAATATGAAAGCAAAATCACATTTATTCACTCTTCTATAAACAAAAGCAAATAAATACTAATTGGACATTTCGCAATTAAAATTTGATCTAATAGCGAGCATAGAACTGGTTGGTTCTTACCTTTTAAGTAGGTGTTCAAAAAGCATGGGATTTATACACTTTCCAAGGAAAAGATGTATTTGTGTATGTGTTCCAAAGAAATGAAAAAGGCAAAGACAGACTTCAAATACGAAATACCTGGCACATGGATAACATGGATACACACAGGCACACACACACACACAGAGACATACCCACACACACAGAGTCGCACACACACACAGACACACACACACACATAAGGAAATAATGAGATCTGCTAGAAAGCAAAACAACATGAGGGAATATTAGTCAAATTAGTGAAAATATTAGTCAAATTAGTAAAAATATTAGTAAAATTCCAGCTAAAGGCCTGAGCTGGCAGTTCAGCTTCTTTAATTCCTTTATTTTCCTGTAACTCTGTCCACATTGTAATTACTGTTCTGACATGATATGCTAGTGTGAATAATAAATTAAGTACATAAAAACACAAATATTCCTAAATCATGGTTGCTTTTTCTCGGCCTGCCTTAGTATAATAGTCTTACAATAAGGAAGCCACCACAGTGGGTATTCAAAAATGATACTATTAATAACATTCCATTCTCTGTAATAGCGTTAAAGAATCGCAAATCGGAAAATAAACCAATTCTACTAACAGTGTATCTTCATTTGAAAAAGTTCTGTATTTGAGAACGAACATAAAAACAGCTATTCGTGGTATATTTAATATTGAAATATAGAGAGGACATTTTAAAGGTGGGATCAAACAGAGAGAGATCTTTCTAGAATTTAAAGAGTAGTTGTAGTAACATTTTTTAAAAATGTTAATACACGTAAATCTATTTAATAATAGTTTTAAAGGTCTAGGACCCTGCTTTGCATTGTAACATTTACAGAAAGTTAAGACGAAAATTGTTTGGGGGGAGGGGATTTGAAATGTTTTCCATTGGAAATGCCTGGCTTTTATTTATTTATTTATTTATTTAGGTACTTACATCCCACACGGCTCTGGTTAAAACATGGTTAATGTACCAACTGCAATTAGCCAACTGTCAAAAGCTCAATTCCCAACCGTCGATAAGCTTCATTTAACTAATTTGAGAAGTGGAAGTTTGAATTTTTTTTTCCAGGAAGGTAGCTAGTTTCCTTATTTCCTGTCAAGAGAGCCAAGTTCTGTGACCTATGGTTAAAAGGGCTCTTTGTAATTAAGACGGAGAGTCTCCAAGTGAACAATTCTCACAGTAGGGGGCACAAAATGAGAAAGAGAGAGAGAGAGAGAGAGAGAGAGAGAGAGGAGGAGGAAGCCAGACACCACTTAAGGAAGCCATGGGGTGGGAGGGGCAGCCAATGCAGGCCTGTGCCCGTGGGCCATCTCCACTGTCATTGGCTCGGTATCATTTTTATGGGGCGCCGAGTCTATTAAGACCTTGGGTAGTGGGTCTATGGCCGGTGCTGCCGCATTGCCTGCACATGGACAACCAGAAACCGATCAACCGTGTTATATCAATAACATTCTCACACCAGGTTGTGTAAATTGATCTTTTACAATTTCTCTCAGTGACAGTCTCTGTAACCAACAAGATAAATCATTCCTCCTGTGGCTCTTTTATTGATTGCTGAGACCTGTATAAAAATTACACTGCTCAAGCTGTGAAGTGAACATCCTCATAAAAGAAGACTTTTTATTTACAATCAAAATATGTTCGGGCCCAGATCAAGTGCAGGTTTACTAGCTCAGATGTACAAGAACAGGGAGATTTAACAGACTCAGTGAAAACTAAAAACCACCCCCTCCCCGCGCCTAAAAAATATGGTCATCACAAACTTCAAGAATATGCACAAAAGACCTCAAATGAAAATCACTCAAAGAAAAAGGTTTACAGATTTGATTTTTTAAGACTGTCAATAAAAAGCCATCTGATAAAAAAGGAAACAAAAAAAAATTCCACCACCAAATGAATCCTTGCAGTGGGTTTTATAAACTAATGCCGATTACTCAATCATGTGACCCCTGGTGCTTGTTCCAACATTAAACCCAAGAACCTAAAGCCCATTTAAGCAGTCCAGAAAGCTCTGGTGGTCACTAAGGTCACATACACCCACAAAAATCTCACTTCCTCCTTTCACAGAAGCTGAGTTTGCAGTATTTTGTGATCATGGAAACATCCTTAGTTCCGCTTTAAAAATAATCCAAAATTCTGGAGTATTTAGAATTTTTATACTATAGTCAAAATATCAACAATGGAAATCTTTGAACATAAATTTTATGCAAGCGGTATGTTCAAATACAAACATTCTTTTCAGTTCTAACTGTGTGTCCCACTAAAAGAATAAACACGTTTTCAATTCAGAAACACTGCCTTGGGTTTTAAAGTGAAAAGTCTGTGTCTGGGACCCCTAAACTTCTGGAAGTTTCTCTTTGGGCAAACTTGGAGTCACCTGTTGGTAAACGCGCTGCTTCCTGATGCAAAGACAAGGCCTTCCCTCCCGAAGGCACTTTTTTGAAAATTTCAAAAGGGGACTGTCAAATACGCCTGCATCTGCCCCCTAAGAGGAGCTAATGACATTTATAAAATAAAGAGAATTACCCTAAGTTTTCGCAGCCTAAAATCGCTTTCTGGGCAGGCCCGGTAGACGGGTATTGTGTCTCCCCTCAAACAGCGTTTCACAAACCTAAGAAATCGCAGCCTTTTGTATACATCTGAGAGGTAAGGACAGAGATAGTCCTCTTTTGTGCCTTCCCCTTGAGCCCTGGCCCGGTTTCTCTGAAGCTCTGCTCTTTATTTGTCGGTTCAGAGAAGGCCCTTTGAATGGGGCAGGCCAGAGGAGGAGGGGGAGAGAGGCAGGGCGGGTGTCTGGGCCCAGGGTCCTCACTTTCCCGGGCCCCGCAGACAGGGTGTTAAGGCTCCCTCATCTCCTGGGGAGGCATTTTCACTGGGAAAGAACAGCAACAACTCGCACATGGGGCGAACTAAGAGAAAAGCAGAGGCTCCCGGGGTCACAGAAGGCAGGCTGCCACCCCCGGGAGGGCCTCCTTGCATAGCCAGTATTTGCAGGCGCTGGTCGCTAGCACCGGCTCACGGCGTGGCCGCAGTCCCCGCTCCAGGCCGGGCAGAGTCCCCGGCCCCTGTGTGTGCATCTGGGCTATTCCTTGCTCCTGCGCGCATGAACCCTGCTGTGCCCGGGTTCCACTGGCTCTGGGTCTTGGCAATTCTTGATCGACGTCTTCGGGAGGCTTTGTGGACCCTCCCCACTCCCACCCCCACTCCCACCACCCCGGCCAGGGATCCAGACAGAGCCAAGCAGAAAGTTATCCCGGCCATGCAGGGCGGTGGGGTGCGGGGAGCGGGGTGCGGATGCACGGCTGGCTCTGCGCCCCCGCAGCGCGCGCAAGAATGCGCAGTCCCAGGCGCCCGCTCGGAGGCACATCCTCTCCATTTCTCCTCGCCGGCGACTGTGACACGTCTGCGGCCGCACATTGTGAGCGATTGTGGGAAAGGGCCGCGAGCCTTTCCGCCGCTCCGGGCCGCCCTAATGAGGGAACAATCGGGCTACACGGAGCTGGCGGCGGGGTCAGCGCGGCGTCCCGCACAATGCGCGCGGCGCCCGAGCCCCTGACAGCGCCATAAATTGGCCGTGCAAAGCCGAGCGCTTGGTGGTCTCCCCTGCAGAAAGGAACCGCCGCCGAGAGCGCGAAAAGGCGAGTCGGGGAACCCGCCAGGGAGCCAGTGGCGTTTTCCTCCACATTACCTTGTTGGAACTCAGCGTAGCAGAGGTCAGCCCACAGGGACAATAGCAGGGTCCAAGGGTGAATTCCAGGAGGGAAGCTGAGCCTGGCTCCCAAGTCGAGCGGAATGAATGGGATGGGAGCCGGAGTCGGGGAGCCCCGAGAGGCCCCGTGTCAGAGGGTCGCCGGGCCGGCAGGAAGCCCCGGCTGCGGGCCCCAGGCCCAGCCCCAGCCCCAGCCCCAGGGAGAGAGCACAGATGCCCAGGAGAGAGTTCAGTGGCAGAGCCTTCTTTTTTCTGTTTTCCTCTCTTGATTTTTGTTTTCTTCTTAAAATATGTTTTAGTTACAGATCTTATCAGACAGGGACAAGTGGAGAAAAATCCCTGGAGGTGGGTGTTTTTTTTTTTTCCTACCACTTTTTAGAAGTGCTTTTATTTTAAACCGAAATGGTTTTCTAAGAGAAGCCATAGTTATTTTTTTTTATTTATTTTGGAGAAATTCTCTTAAGGGACATAAGGTTGTGCTTTCTGGTTTTTATTCAGCATCGGTGGGCTTTGTTTTGTTTTTTGGTCTCTCCAAGGAGCAGATAGAGAACAAGAGGGGGACCAGGGTGGAGAGTTCTCTATGAGATGGTTTAAGTGAGCTTTTAAAGTTGAAAAGTTGCATTTAGAAGAAAAGTTTGCCGAGATCACATCAATGAATGCCGCCAGATATCTGGTTTTAATAGGATGATTCAGGAGTTTCAGTCTGTTGCAGGCTTGGGGTTGCCAAACTCCTCAACCAATCATGTCCTCCCCAAATTTACAAATTTCAGTTAAATGAACCCAACGAGTTGATTGCTAGACATGGTAACTACCTCTGACATTAGGTTTGCTCTTGCTGAGATCGGAACAGGTTCTTCATTCTTCTGGAGAAGGCAGTAAGATCATTTGGACGACAAAGGATCAGTTGAGGACAGGGGGTGAGGCTGGGGGTCATTGATTGCGATCTTATGCAAGACATGCTTAGCCTGGTACCCAGCCCTTGAAGTCCCCTCACACCTGGAATTTCAAAGAGAAAGTGCAAAGAGGAATTGCACCAGAACCAAGCTCTGCTGCTGAACGGCAACTGCTTTTTGCAAAGATTGACCTCTCTGGTCTTCCCTGTTGCTGAAACAAAGGATTTTCCACCACTCCCAGTTCCAGGGTGCACAGGTTCTGGGATTGTGAAGGTCAACTCCTGCCCCTCCCGCACCTGCCAGCACCAGCCCCACCTATAAGAAAGGAGCAGAGAGCAGACAGGCCCCCACCTCCATGCTCTTCCCTCCTAACAATGAGGCAGGCAAGCCTTGTGGTGTCAGCACTTCTCAGGTCCCTCTTTTATTGTGTGTGTGGGCACAAAACATTGAGGATGATGGAGGGGAGACTATTAATAGCCCAATGCATTGACTAGAGAGGCAGGGACAAGGGACAGGCATTGTGGCTTAACTGGTTAAGCCACCACCTGCAACACCGGCATCCCATGTGGGTACCAGTTGGAGTCCTGGTCTCTCCATTTCCCGTCCAGCTCCCTGCTCATGCACCTGGGAAAGCGGCAAACAATAGCCCAAATGCTTGCCCCTGTACTCATGTGGGAGACCCAAATGAAGCTCAACCCTGGCTCTTGAGGCCATTTGGATACTTAACCAGCAGATGGAAGTTCTCTGTATCTTTTCCTCTCTCTCTAAGTCTGCCTTTCAAATACATAAAATAAATCTTGTTAAAAAGGGGGGGGGGGCAGGGAGAAAAGGGGTGAGGATAAACTCTTCATAAGCAAGATAGGATCCACTTGACCTAGGGGCCAACTGAAGGGTCTTCAGCTTGCTTGACCATTTTTCCTTTTACATTATTCTCTGACATCTAAAGCCTAAAGTTGGCTTAGGAAGGTGAGTTTTTCTTCTTCTCTCCTGTTTTTTCCCTGATGTAGCAGGAGCAGTGAAGAATAAGGAGAAAGAAAAGTAGGGGTGTAAGCCATGTCCAGGAAGCAGCACAACTTGCCGCTCTCCATGCAAAACCCTCAAATTAGGTAAATGCATATGTAAGTATTAGTCCTGAAAGCTTGAAAAAGAAAACCTACTTCTAAGGTAAGTTGGATTAAGTTCCCCCTCTTAATCTTATTACCTTCAAATACATGCTTCCTGAGGGTGGATAATAATTGATAACTTCTTGGGACAGAGAGTTACTGAAAACTATGCAGAGACCAAAATAAAGTGGTATATGTTCTAAATTAGATTCCTAAATTAAGTTGCACAACATGTTTGGTCATGTCCTTCAGGTTCTTTCCAAAGATCCCTATTAAAATCACATTTTCTCATAATTTATATAGAAAAGTACATTTGAAAATGTGCCTTGAAACTATGGGGAAACCATTCACAAACAGTATCCCAAATAGAACAGATACAAAATTCTTTAAGTGAAAATAAGGGAAGGGGAAAAGTAGAAGATAGTAATTTCTAAGATGTAGCCAGTTTTTTTTTATAAGAATGATACTGAGTGTCGGAAACAGTCACAAATACAAAATTATCTAATGACCCCTAAAATCTTCCATTGAAAATAATACCAGTCTACTCTTCAAGAGAATATTGCAAAGAGTAATTCCATTCTATTCTCTGACTACTAGAGGCTAAAAACTCCTTTTCTACTAATAACCTGTTATTTCAACAATTTAATAATATTGCTACTACCTGGAGTGGTTAAGAAAAAAGAGACAGCAGCACCAAAGCAAACTTGATGGATAAGTTGGAATTGACAGCCCTTTGTACACTGTTTAATTACTCTAAGCAATTAAAAAATTTTTTTGGCCAGCACCGCGGCTCACTTGGCTAATCCTCCACCTCTGGGGCCGATATCCCGGGTTCTAGTCCCGGTTGGGGAGCTGGATTCTGTCCTGGTTGCTCCTCTTCCAGTCCAGCTCTCTGCTGTGGCTTGGGAGGGCAGTGGAGGATGGCCCAAGTGCTTGGGCCCTGCACCCACATGGGAGACCAGGAGGAAGCACCTGGCTCCTGGCTTCGGATCGGCACAGTGCTCCGGCCGTAGAGGCCATTTGGTGGGTTAACCAACGGAAAGAAGACCTTTCTCTGTCTCTCTCTCTCTCTCATTGTCTAACTCTGCCTGTCCAAAAAAAACTTTTCTTGACATCACAACACTTGTTTGTGGTACTGTTAATATCAGTTCTTTACTTCCACTTGTTTAAAAATACGTGAGTATAGGAAAGTGCATGGTTTTACTTTTCTGTTTTCTATCCTCTAAGGAAAAAGACTAGACACTGCATCCTCCAAGGGAGAAAACCAGATAGACTTCCAGATCTTCCATGATTCCGTTCAGTTATTCCATGTAAAAAGCTTGAGTGGTTTCTCTGTGTCCTCCCTTTCTCCAAATTGCTAAAATAATACATTTAAAATGAGGAGGGAAAAAAAAAAAACAGAATAAAAGGTGTTAGTATTCTAACCCTGTATTATAAGCATGTCACATGGTCTTGAAGAATCATTTGTGTGGCGAAGGCATCATAAAATGTGATGTGTGGAAGAAAGAAACCACAGCCAAGAGGCTCTGTGCTGAATGACGGACAGCCTCTAAGGAGTCTTACCGGCAGTCCCGGCTCTGCCAGCAGTTCACTGTAAGCCTTTGGGTGGGCCCCTTACTATTTGGGGATTTCAGTTTCCACATGGGCAAAGTGGCAGTCATTGGAATCACCCTTTTACCAGCATTTCCTGAAGAATGATGATTACAAAAAATGCAAAGCATCTGTGTGTGTTAAGAACAACATACAAGTGCTAAGAAATAGCATAAGCTTGTAGTTCACAATACATTTTTCCAGAAACAGGCGGAAGTCACAAGCATGGAATGATAACAGGAATTAGGGACCACCAAGCAAAACAGAACCCAAGGATCCTTTCGAATTCTTCGTGATGAGTACATCCCTGGGCTGAAATGACGGAGTGGGAAAGGAGAATAAACTCTCACATAGATTGTTGTCAGAGTGGTGCTGGCATAACAAGCCATAGGATATAGTGACTATGAATTGATCTCAATTTATAGAAATATTGGATGCAAGCATATATTTTCTGCATGAGAGGCAGGTACACAACTTAGAGAAGATATTTTCTATAGAAAAAATGTAGGATGTCTTGGTTAGAACTTTGAATGTGTATCTTATTCTGTGGTCAAAGAAGGTTTTACACTAAGCTTTTTAAGAGGATGGGAAAGAGGCTAGCACTGTGGCACAGCGTGTTAAACTGCTGTCTGCAGTGCTAGCACCCCATATGGGTCCCAATTAAAGTCCCAGCTGCTTCACTTCTAACCCAGCTCCCTGCTAATATGCTTGGGAAAGCAGTGAAAGATGGCCCAAGTGCTTGGACCCCAGCACCCACATGGGAGGCTGGAAGAAGCTCCTGGCTTCTGGCTTTTGCCTGGCCCAGCCCTGGCCACTGTGACCACTTGGGGAGTGAACCAACAGAAGATCTCTCTCTCTCTCTCTCTCTCTCTAACTCTTATTTTCAAATAAATAAATAAATATTTAAGGAAAAAAAAGAGGACAGGAGAACATATAATGATTACATGAGAGAGTTCTGAAATGCTTTACTTTAGTTTTGAGCTAAGCAGACCAAAGTTTTTATTTTTACTGTACTTTTTAAACTAAATTGTTAACAAAAATTCAAGATTTATTTATATTTATTTGAAAGGCAGAGTCACACAAGGAGAGAAAGAGATACAGAGAGAGAAAGAGAGAGATCTTCCATCCACTGGTTCACTCTCCAAATGGCCACAACAGCCAGGGCTGGTCCAAGCTGAAGTCAGGAGCCAGGAACTGCATTCAGGTCTCTCATGTGGATGAGAGATCCAAGCACTTGGGCCATCCTCCACTGCTTTCCCAGGTGCATTATCAGGGAGCTGGATCTGGAGTGGAGCAGCTGAGACTTGAACTGGTGCCCACATGGGATGCCAATACTTCAGGTGGCGGCTCAATAAGCTGTACCGCAGCACCATCCACGAAGCTGTAAAAACCTGATGTTCAATAGTCTATATTTTTTACATCTGAGTTTACTTGTGAAGAACCAAAATTTTAAAAATTACATCTGGGCCGGAGCCGCGGCTCACTAGGCTAATCCTCTGCCTGTGGCACTGGCACACCGGGTTCTAGTCCCAGTTGCGGCGCCGGATTCTGTCCCGGTTGCCCCTCTTCCAGGCCAGCTCTCTGCTGTGGCCCGGGAGTGCAGTAGAGGATGGCCCAAGTGCTTGGGCCCTGCACCCCATGGGAGACCAGGAGAAGCACCTGGTTCCTGGCTTCGGATCAGCACAGCGCGCCGGCTGCAGCACGCCAGCCACAGCGCACCAGCCACAGCAGCCATTGGAGGGTGAACCAACGGAAAAAGGAAGACCTTTCTCTCTGTCTCTCTCTCTCACTGTCCACTCTGCCTGTAAAAAAAAAATCTGAAAGTACATTTAAAGTAATATATTTATAAAAATTATAAAAATGAAAGAAATGACAAATGGACAGTGTATGATAGTTAAATAGCAAAAGTTTAATATCCTACATATAGACAGAATGATTAAAAATCACTAAAAGATGAAGAACAGAATAAGAAAAAAGGCAGTTGACATGAACAAGTATATAGTAAAATAGTAAGTACAATTGTCCAACTCACATATGAAAATGTATTTAATCTCAATAATAAACTAGCATTAAAATACCCTGTGCAATGCAGTGGGTGGCAGATACATACACTGATGCTTCCTGAATAAAGAATCAGAAGTAACTATCACACTCTATCCAAAGGGTTGTGACTTTACCTGAGTCACTTCACCATCAGGAGGTTGTACTTTAAAATAATCATCACCATCCTTTTATTCTAAGCTTTACCTATAAAGATGATTATTATAGCATTACTTGTTACATAAGGGGTCGCCAAAAAGTTCATAAAAATGCATATTATGGAGGCCGGCACTGTGGCGCAGCAGGTTAATGCCCTGGCCTGAAGCACCAGCCTCCCATATGGGTGCCGGTTCTAGTCCCAGTTGCTCCTCTTCCAATCCAGCACTCTGCTGTGGCCTGGGAAAGCAGTAGAAGATGGCCCAAGACCTTGGGCCCCTGCACTTGCGTGGGAGACCCGGAAGAAGCTCCTGGCTCCTGACTTTGGATTGGCGCAGTTCCAGCCATTGCGGCCATCTGGGGAGTGAACCAGTGGATGGAATGGAAGACCTTCTCTCTCTCTCTCTCTCTCTCTCTCTCTCTCTCTCTTCCTCTCCCTCTCCCTCTCCCTCTCCCTCTCCCTCTCCCTCTCCTTCTCTCTCTGTATGACTCTGACTTCCAAATAAATAAATCTTTTTTAAAAAAGAAAAAAACTACACATGACTTGCAAACACTTTTATTCAGAATAAAGCTATCTTTTATTTCAATTTCCAATGAACTTACTTTTTTTTATTATTTACTTTAAAAGCAGAGAGAGAAAGAGAAATTTCTTCTGCTGGTTCACTCCCCAAATGGCTGCAAAAGCCAGGCTCGAGCCAGGAAGAAACAAGGCTCAGGAACTCCATCTCAGTCTCTCATGTGGGTGGATTCAACTGGCCACCATCCACTGCTTTCCTGCGAGCTGTATTGGAAGTAGAGCAGCAAGACAAACCAGTGCTCCCATATGGGATGCCAGCATTACAGGCAGTGGCTTAACTTGCCATGCACCACCCTCCCACCACCACCATGCGGTGTTTGAAGTACCCTCATCTTGAATAAAATGAAACAATTCTGAATGTGTAACAGTGGGGCAACTAGTTAAACTATGGCATATATGCATAAAATGCAATGTTACATAGTTAATTAGAAAGATGCTATAGAGGAATGCATAATGAATAAGCGTGATATTTGAAATGTGTTAGAAGCAAAGAAACAGAGGCAAGAAACAATATCCAGCATTTAGGTCCTATTTTGAAGAAAGGTAGAAAAAGGTTCAGGCAGGATAGGCTAGCCTGGGGTGCAATACAACAAAAACTTAAAAATGTTAGTGGCCTATATTCAGAGCCTGTCTTGGGGCAACAGGGATCTCTCTTCTTCATCTTCTCACTTTCTGCCCAAAAGTAAAACTGCTACCATCTCAAATAATCCCAGTCGCTATAGCAGAGGCAAAGAAAGCAATCAGGTAGTTTGTTCCAACATAATAGACATTTTCCACATGAGGTTATTGAGCACTTGAAATGGGGCTGTTGTGAACTGAGATGGCTATATATTTGTTTACAAAGACTTCATCTAAATGATGATAGCACCAATAAAAGAATATAAAATATCTCAGTATATTGGTTTCATATTGAAATAATATTTTGAGTGTCTTCTGTTAAAGAAAATATATAATGAAAAATTAATTTCACCTGTGTGTTTTTTTTTAGAATTGTTATTTATTTGTTTGTTTATTCCAAAGGCAGAATGACAGAGAGGGGGAGCAACAGGGACAGAGTTTTTCCCTCTGCTGGTTCACTCTCCTAATGCCTACAACAGCCAGATCGAGGCCAGTCCAAAGCTGGGAGTTAGGAATTTCATTCAGGTGTTCCACAAAGTTGGCAGGGGTCCAAGCACTTGGGTCATCCTCTGCTGCTTTTCCAGGCACATTAGAAGTGGGCTGGATCAGACGTGGAGCAACGGTGGCGACTCAGGCTGGTGCTCCCATGTGGGTTGCCGGCGACAACCTGTGAACCACTGTGCCAGCCCCTTACCAGCTTCTTTTACTTTCTAATGTCCCACGAGAAAAGTCAGGATTGCAGACAGTCCACAGAACTCTGGAATGTCTCCCGTTAGCAACTGGAAGCTGCACCTCATTGGCTAGAATACATTACATGACCCCACACAATCACAAGTACAGAAAATGAAATTCCACATTGTGCCTGGGACACAGCCAACTGAAAATAGTTGGTGGGCAGTTCTAATAAATGCCACGAGGTGGGGGGAAGGAGAAGGAAAAATGTTGGAGATTTTTTAATGACTTGGAGACTATTTAATTTACTTGGGAAGCTTTCGAGAGTCTATATCCAAGATCTAAGCAATCAACCTCTACAGCAAGTAAAATGAAATTGGGACATTGCCCTATAACAGCTAATGAAGAGCAAAATGCCATGTGTATTAAAATACTATGGGCAGAGAAAATGGACCGGCAACAATTTAGAGAAAAAATATACACATATACATACATATGGGACACATTTGCAGAGAGCATCCTTTGATTTGCTATGGAGCTACTTCTTTAAAAAAATTTCCTTATTTATTTAAAACACAGAATTAAGAGAGAAGTTACTTTTTTTTTAAAGATTTTATTTAGGCCAGTGCTGTGGCTCACTAGGCTAATCCTCCGTCTGCGGTACCAGCACACCGGGTTCCAGTCCTGGTTGTGGCGCCGGATTCTGTCCCGGTTGCTCCTCTTCCAGTCCAGCTCTCTGCTGTGGCACCTGCATGGGAGACCAGGAGGAAGCACCTGGCTCCTGGCTTTGGATCAGCGATGTGCGCTGGCTGTAGCAGCCATTTGGGGTGTGAACCAACAGAAGGAAGACCTTTCTCTCTGTCTCTCTCTCACACTGTCTAACTCTGCCTGTCAAAAAAAAAGGAGGGAGAGAGAGAGAGAGAGTGAGAAAGAGAGAGAGATCTTCCATCTACTGGTTCATTCCCTAAATATCTGCTAAGGCCAGGACTGGTCCAATTAGAAGCCAAGAGCCTGGAACACCATCCAAGTCTCTCACGTGGGTGGCAGGAGTCCAAGTACTTGGGCCATCCTCTGCTGCCCTCCCAGGTGCATTACCAACCAGCTGGATCAGAAGCGGAGCAACCAGGACTTAATTTGAACTTGTGCTCCCATAAGGGATGCCAGCATCACAAGCAGCAAGTTAACTCCCTGTGCCACAGTGCGGGCCCTCCCCTTGAGCTGTTCTTAGCTGGAAGTCTCCATGTAGTGCGGCCCACGTTAAGAAGTAACAGGGACTTACTAACTGAGTGGTTGATGAACACTGTTCTCCTGAGGAAGGCAGAGGGATTATCAAGTCTATGTGTCTGTACATATTCTACAACTTGGAGTTACTCCAGAAGCTTCAAAACCATTATCACTGGGTGATGGGATCCTACATAATTCTAAGCAATTTGTTTTTGCTTCTCTTTATATTCAAATCATCTGCAAGAATCAAATAATGTCCATGCCCATACACGTGCGCGCGCGCACACACACACACACACACACACAAATGCATGTATTCCTCATTGATTTACTTATGTTAAATGCAGAGTGACACAAAAAGAGAGAGTTCTTCATCCACTGATAACCTCTCCAAATGCCCACAACCAGGACAGCTGGGCCAGGTCAAAGCCAGGAGCCAGGAGCTCCATCCAGGTCTCCCATGTAGGTGGCAGGAGCCCAAGTATTTGAAGCACTATCTGCTCCCTTTCCAGGAGCATAGGTAGGAAGCTGGAAATCAGAACAGGGTGAGGGCAGGTGGGAGTCAAGCTAGACACTCCAAGAGGGGACGTGGGTACCCCAAGTGGTGGGCTTAACCCATTGCCTCACAACTCACATCCCTGCCACACCCTATCCTCAGGGCTGAAAACAATTTGTAGTCACACTGATTCCATCAATAGGGAGACAACATAATGGAATATGTGTTCCAGAGACAGACTGTCTGGGTTCAAAATGCTGGTGGGGGTTTTCATTGTTGCCCAGAGGGTTAAGCTGCCCCTTGAGACACCTGTCTTTCCTATTGGCCACTCTGATTCCCGCTCCTCCTTTTCCTATCCAGTGTCCTGCTAATGCATCCTGGAAGGCAGCAGGTGATGGCTCAAAAGCTTGGGTGCCTCACACCCTTGTAGGAGGCCCAGATGGAGTTCCTGGCTCCTGGTTTCTTCCTGGCCCAGCCCTGGCTTGTTTTAGGCACTTGAGTAATAAACCATAGGATGGAAGAGCTCTCTTGTACTCACTCTCTCTCTGCCTTTCAAGTAGATGAAAATAAATTAAAAATAAAATTATGGTACATACTGGCAGGATGACACTAGCATGTTACTTAAGATCTCTGTTCCTGGGTCCGTCTACCTGTGAAATGGGGACAAAAATCCGTTTCTGTTTCACAAGGTTGTGGGTACAAATCTAATGTAATTATAAGTGAGATGAACTCGAAGAAATGTTCCATAAATTTTATTTATCACTATTCGATTCTAGCTTTCAGGTTTCAAATTTAAAATGACGACCAAAAGTCACTCAGGTCCCCTCCAGTCTCCAGCTGAAGCATTTATAGCCTGCCCTTCCTCCTGGCTCCTGCAGCCCTTTAAACTATTACTAGAAAGACAGCCACTTCCCTCCTGGCTGCACCAGCCGTGATTTCTCCTGATTTGTCAGGAGGAAAATACAAAAGACTTTCACACTTCTGCTGCTCTGTCTCCTGAATTAACATACCACTTTTGAACTTAAGGGAGCAAAGCACTGTTCAGTTTTTAAGAGTGAATAAGATATATAAAAATGAGGATGGCTTTGACAAGGTACCATCAATGCGAATGAGACTAGAGGAATGAAATTCTGCATAGGAATGCTTTCATCTAAGTGGTTTGACCAACTTTCAAATGAATAGGCAATTTTGCCTCATTCTCTTCAAATTTATAAATTAATATTTTCAAAGGGATGGAATTAATGAGCAATTGAGTTAAAAGATATTAAAAACTATAAATATTTTCTCAATTGAAGTTCAGAGTTTTGCCATTTATAACTGATGTAGTTACACTAAAAATAGCAATAGCATGCAATATTATATTTGTATTTTTCAATCCTATTGTTTTTTTGTTTTCATACTATAAGCAATAAGGTGCATCTGAGTGAAGTTTCCTAGGAGCCTAATAATTAATCCAACGTTTATCCAAAATGCTGAACTAACTGACTTAATTCTTCAATAGCCTACCTTTGATGGGGATTTACAAATTGTTTCTACCTCAGGTAGAAACACACCTCAGGTATGTCACAAACTATTCTGAGTAATTAGGAATGCCTTGCAGTTTGTTGTATTTGGTTTGTAGCTACCTAACCCCCAATGTTTTGGCAAGATACTTGTAAATTTGCACAACCAAACCATACCTCTACTGAGGAAAGTGAGGAAGATGGTGTCAATGCCAACAGAAGGCAAGAGGAAAAATCTCAAAGGGTTCTAGCTGTTCTCAGCATCTTCAAAGTGAAATCAAGGAAGAGATTCTATGTTTAAAATGTCAATTAGAATAAACTCTTTCAGCTCAGTTATTTTACTATTTGTTGTAAAAACATGGAATTTTCTAGATAAATGTTTTAGTTCTTCGCGTCTTTAAAAAAAAATTGGGGGCAGGGGTGGAGAGCCGGCACTGCAGAGTAGCTGGTAAAGCCTCTGTCTGCAACACTAGCATCCCATATGGGCTCCAGTTTGAGTCCTGGCTGCTCCACTTCTGATCTAGCTCCATGCTAATGTGCCTGCGAAAGCAGCAAAAGATGGTCCAAGTCCTTGTGCCCCATGACCTGGAGGAAGCTCCAGGTCCTGGCTCCTGGATCAGCCAAACTCTGGCCATTGTGGTCATTTGGGGAGTGAACCAGTAAATAGAAGACCTCTCTCTCTCTCTCTCTCTCTTTCTCTCTGTAAATCTACCTTTCAATAACTACAAAAATCTTTTTTAAAAATTTTGTATATGTATGTCCTTGTTTTAAAGTTCTGTTTAGGCAAAATATGTTTACCAGCCAGAAAATGCAGATATTAAGGGATTTTATTCATAACAGGTTAGATTTTTTCTTCTGAAAGTTTAAAACAAACACTTTAAAGTGGATGAGTCTATAATTTTGAGTAAAATTTTCAGTCAAATGTAATTGCTTTATAGGTTTAACTCTGGCCAGAGTAATTTGTGTTCTTTCTATGTATTACTCTAACTGTAATAAAGCTGTTTATGCAAATGTGAACTTGTTATTTTTGCAGAATCTTTCCAGCTATGTAGGGTTGTAACGTAAAACTCTCATTCAAGATCAAAATTCCACATATTTGCAACCTGCAAACATCTAAAATTCACACTTCAACATCTGTGTGGCTGCCAACATCTACTGCCATCATCTACTGCCATCTATATCATGTTTTTCCAGAGTGGAAGGAAAAAAAAATGAGGTAAGTACAATTCAATAATTATACTAAATATTTACAAACTGTTTGCTATGTATGCATTTTATTCATTGATAACACTTAGCAACTGCATGAGGGATGCAAGAGCCTTAAAAGTGTGCAACATTTTACGGTAAACTGTGTCTTATATGTCTAAAGCTTTGCCAAAAAACACCACAACATGCACAACTCTCCAATACAAGCCTTCGCCGGCGCCGCGGCTCACTAGGCTAATCCTCCGCCTAGCGGCGCCGGCACACCGGGTTCTAGTCCCGGTCGGGGCGCCGGATTCTGTCCCGGTTGCCCCTCTTCCAGGCCAGCTCTCTGCTGTGGCCAGGGAGTGCAGTGGAGGATGGCCCAGGTGCTTGGGCCCTGCACCGCATGGGAGACCAGGAGAAAAAGCACCTGGCTCCTGGCTCCTGCCATCGGATCAGCACGGTGCGCCGGCCGCAGCGCGCTAGCCGCGGCGGCCATTGGAGGGTGAACCAAGGGCAAAGGAAGACCTTTCTCTCTGTCTCTCTCTCTCACTGTCCACTCTGCCTGTCAAAAAAAAAAAAAAACAAACAAAAAACAATACAAGCCTTAAAGATTTTTCCATCACATGATATAGTTTCTCTAAATTATTTTTATTATAATAATTTTGAAAATATTCCGTTAGTGTGTTTTTTGTACTCAGTGAAACCTTTGTCTTGTATTCCCTCTCATTGAAAAAGTTCAGTTTTTATCATACCTAGTGTGCTAAATGCCTTCAAAGCAAATACCTCAAAATGATTGTATTTATATGCTGTTTTCTTAGGTCTTTTAAAAATAGATTAACTCACATTTTAGACCTCTGCAGCAGAGAAAGTGAGTGTGGTAGCCAACTATAAATTATTAAAACTGAAACCATGATGTCCACAGACAACCCGATTTCTTGAGGACCGCTTTTATCACTTCCGTTGTTCTTTCAGCTGTATTCTGGTTCCCTTGAATTTGGTGAACAAGAAGGGGATGGGTATAGCAAGGGGAGTGAGTTAAATCATAGATTGCTGAGAATCATATGCGAATTACTGATTTCTGCAGTGGGGGGAGCAATGCACTTACTCGTTAAACTTGGAAACCCATCACTCTTGAAGATTTTATTGTCTTGCAGTGCTTGTATCACACCAGCCTCAGGCACTACAGTTTCTCCCCTCGAATTCTCTCTATTTTCTAATCAATATACTATAAGATTCAGAGCAAGATACTTCCTGTATCAGAGCCTCCTTGGCTCAGAGCAGCCCATACCTTCCACTGTATTTCAGGGAATGCACTCATTTCTACTGTGTTACATGTTAAAGTTTTCCCAGTCGGTCTCTATGTGTTCCCTAATCATGGAGCTTATTGGTAAAATATGAGTACATTGTAGGTAGTATCTTCATTGTTATTGAACCATTATTTGTTATTTTTGTAAATTTTGAAAATTCCAATACATCTCACTCACTGACTTGAGTAATTTTTGTAGAAATGTATGCAGAATATAAAACAAGGAAGTTGTACCAGTGCATTCTACTGATGTACATTTCTGGTTGTTTTTTTAAAGATTTATTTATTTATTTGAAAGGTAGAGTTACAGAGAGGCAGAGGCAGAGAAAGAGAGTAAGTCTTTCATCAGCTGGTTCACTCCCTAAATGGCCGCAGTGGCCAGAGCTGGGCCAATCCCAAGCCAGGAGCCAGGAGATTCAACCGGTTCCCCAACATGGGTGCAGGAGTCCAAGAACTTAGGCCATCTTCTACTGTTTTCCCAGGCCATAGCAGAGAGCTGATTGGAAGTGGAGCAGCCAGGACTCAAACCAATGCCCATATGGGATCCTGGCATTGCATCGGGCCCCTGATTTTTTTTAATGTATCTTCCAACACAGTATAATGAACACCACTAGGAAGTTGAAGCCCAAGATGTAAAATGTATTGGGAGTAAATGAGAGTCTATACTTTCTAGTTTGAAAACCAATCCCAGAAGTAAAGAATTTATGTACTTGATAGGCATTGCATTAGGCACCTATTAGTTCCAGGTTGATGACACATAGATTAAAACAGAAAATGTTCCCATATTTAATAAGCACCCCAGATTCACAGTATTAGCAAAGGGCAGGGAGAGGTGAAAGACATTTAAACAAATAGAGCACACATGGAAATAAATACAATGATATACTTAGGTACGTGTTCTGTGGGAACAAACAAACACACAAAATAGAGGAGAAATAAATTATTCTGGGAAGGACACAGATTTGGGAGGTCTGGGAACATTCTGGAAAGAGCAAAGGCTGCCAGATAGTTGGGTGGCAGCAGCCACTATCTTTGACTCACCCAACTTCTTGCTGAGATAATTATGAAGACACGGGAGATAAGAAGTGATAGAATCACCAACTAATAAGTTACAGACAATATATTGCAGAGCTGAGCCACAAAGCCAGGGGCATTCTTTTAAGCACTGGCATTCTTTTAAGCACTAAACTACGCTGCCTCTCGGGCTGATCAACGATAGTGCACCATTCCAGCAAAGCTTATTACACAATGGAGACACTAGAGCCATTAAATTAAAAGGCATTTTTTTCTCCCATGAAATCTTTAAGTAAAATAATATAATGGCATTTTATTGCCAAAATCCCAAATAATGATTTACTGCATCTTTTGAGGAATAACCTAAAAATATGCCCTTATTTTTTTTTTTAATTGGGAAAGACTGTTGAGGCACCCAGGGGGTAGCTGTTATCTGTGATGAACCTGCCCCTTTACATTCACCTCTATGGAAGAACCTGTGCATATTCCTAATTTCCTATTGTCCCCTAAAAGTAGTACAAACAGTATGCCCCTTAGGTATACATGAAAAAAAGGATCTATGAATGTATACTGAAAAGCAAAGTAACATTCTAGGAAACCTTTCTTCTTTGGACTTTTCTATATTTTTCACATGTTCTGCAAACAATTGGCATGGTTTTTAATCACTCAAAAGGACAGCATATGAGGTTGAGTGTTCTAGTTCTGTAGTATAATGGTTTTGCATTTTAAATACTTGGGGAAAGGGAGGCTGCAAAAGTGGTATATAGACTATTGTCGCTCCCCCTCTTCGTGGAGGAACGACACTGGACCCTGCGTTGTTCTTTCGTCTGCTCAGCCCTCCCCGGGTTTGCTGCTGGTTCTTCCCGGGTTGGCTACCGTCCCTTCCACCTCCTTGGAAGGGCGGGCCCCCTGCCACTTTCCCCACTTCCGCGGGGGAGCGGCACACCGCTGGCCAGCTCTCTTGGGGGCTGCACAGGTGTTCCTTCAGATAGATGTTCCTGGTGCATGTTGTCTCTCTCCTCCTTTATAGTCCTCTTCCACCAATCCCAACTCTGCTACCCACACGCTGAGTACGCTGCTCTCCTTCAATCAGGAGCAGGTCCTACAGTTTATTGGTTGAACTGGAGGCAGCTGTGTAGAAGCTGTTTCCTCCTCTCCCAGCGCCATATTGTGGGAGAGCAAATGCATAGAATAAGTCTTAATTCCAGTAACAGTCTAGTCCGAGTTGCTCCCAGTTGCTCCCCACAGACTATGGTGACTGTTTCTTTATTACTTTTTTCCCTCATAATTGCTGAGGTGAGCTTTAACTATTCCTAAAATGAACTGGAAATAATTTCATTAACATATTAAGAGCAAATATTGATGAGGAATCATAGACAAGCAAAAGTGGAAGAATCCCTTGAAGTGTCACTTGGGCAGGGAAATGAACGTGTTACTTGGGTACTGCTGGCCCAGTGATGGAGACAGTCCTTACCCTTGCAGACTGCAGGAGGATAGAATCAAGACATCTGGCTGAGGGGATCTGTGCTCAAAAAACTAGGGGTACCCCTCCCAGAAAAATGAAGAACAGATGGGTAGATATTCTACCTAGAGGAACAAAGTGAGGAAGCTAGAGAACGTGCACCCTGAGTTAATAAATGGAAGAGATGTAGGGTAGAAACTTCAGTGAGTCCATAGTTAGAAGTAAAAAGGTGGTCAGTGAGCCAGGATGGGTTTAAATGTCAGGGCCAGCATGAGATGAACAAGATGCGATAGAGCTACTTGCACCGTGGGTGTGTGTAGGTCAGTGAGCAGATTCACAAATCAGAAACCAGAGTTTAGATTGCCATCCTGCTTGAACCACTGGCCAACTGTGCAAATGTGGGGGCAGGACTTCCCCAGCCCATCAGCTACTTCAGAAGCTCACTCCCCCACTTGAATTTATTTAGTCCTTCACTGAGCCACCGTCCAGTGGGCTTTTAGTTTAAAAGCCCACTGGCCCAGTGATGGAGACAGTCCTTACCCTTACAGACTCCATCCCACATTAAAGTGGGATTAAAATGCCTCCATCCCACATTAGAGTGCCTGGATTCCGTTCCTGGCTCTGGCCTCTAACTCCAGCTTCCTGCTAAGAAAAGGAGACTTGGATTGAGTTCAGGTGAGCTTTGGCCCTGAGCCAGATTGCAAGCATTTAGGGAGTGTGAACCACCAGATGGGAGTTCTCTCTCTCTCTCTCTCACACACACACACACACACACACTCTCAAATAAATAAAATGTTAATGTATTTAAATGAATTATAATCCCATTTCCTCTTCACTACTCTTGAAGAGCTCTCCTAAGGGCTGCCCCTTGAAGGTGACATGGATTGAATGAGAAATGTGACATTCTGGAAGTCCTCAGATGAGCAGTATCTGTGTGTGTTCCTGAGCTCTGTTCAAATCAGAGATGACCAGTTCAGTGTCTCCTCTATAACAAGAGGAAGAATCCTATAATTCTAGGTCACTTTCATAAAAGAGTCAGCTCTCCTTTTTCAGGAAACTGGTTTCTGAATTTTATCTGCAAATTTGGTATTCTAAGTCAAAGAAATAGCTTACTCCATTTCTCTCAGTAAATTTTACCTGCATTTTCAAAATAACTTATAACTGAAAACTCCACTGTAACCTGGTAGGAACGGGACTTCCTGAGAGTTTTGCCAGAAGTGACTGGCCTCAGACAGACCGGGAATTC